AATTTATTCGGTCTATCTGAGCCCCAGTAATCTACTTTTGTGATATATCCTTGATAATTCCAGTTCAGAGAGTACCACACACTAAATATGTTAGTTCCATGCAAGTGTTTCTAAGAAAAAGAGGGAGGAGGAAGAAGAAGAGAAGGAGGAGGAGGAAGAGGGGAGGAAGGGAGAAAGGAGGAAAGGGGAGGAGGAGGGGACAGGGGAGCGAGAGAGGAAGGGGAAGGAGGAGAAGGAGAAGGAAAAGGAGATGAAGAAAAAGAAGACACATTACATAAATAGCTACAGTGAAAATTTTAGTATAAATTGAATGTGCTTTATGAGACACAGCCTATCCCTGTGCCTGGCACATAGTAGAAACTAGATGAAAGCGTTCCATTTAAAATAGTTTGTTCCGTATTTTTCAATAGCCGTGTGGAAGCAAGTACAGAAAGAGTTAAGTAGACGTGCTCTAATAGGAGGGAGGTGAGAGAAGGGTCCATAGAGGCTTCAATCTTTGGGAAGAGTGACCCAGAGAGTGTCAGAGTAGAGCACTCCATGCAATCAGGGCACACAACGAGTACATCTCCAGGAGTCAGGCAAAAGGAGTTTGAGGGTTTAGGTGAAGGACCAATGAAAACAAAGACTGTGAGGGCAAATGTCCCCTTTGTCACAATTTTCCGTAACGTGCATCTGTGGAAAAATTTTGGGGAAGATGAGACCTACATAAATTAGGAGAATGAGAGGATCCTTGTCTTCTGAAAGAAGTGGAGATATATTCTCCATTACTCAATAAAATACGAAGACTGGAAAAAGATTTAAGTGATAATTGTTTTGCTGAAGAGAAAAAGAGAAGGGAGGCTGCTTATGTTTAAAGTTTGGTGAAAAGATCATGTTAGGAAGTACATAGGATAGAAAAAACGACAAACTGCAGATTAAATACTTAAGTAGGTAAATTTTGTCTTGAAGATACAGGGAATTTGCATTCTATTCTCCTTTCTAAATTATACTGTAGTGCTAATAACTGTAGTTGTGATTCACCAGCAGCATATTCACAAGAGTGTCTGCAGACTCTGTTCCATTTTCTCAGGTTACATTTACTAAAATCCCTATATGTGTCAGACACAGGAGATATTAGGATGTATAAAACATAATGTCTGCTTTGGAGAAGTATACAGAAACAGACTGCAAATTATACTATGATGCAATAAATTCTAAAATATAGTAATCAACAGGTGCTTCAAGAGAATACAAGTACATAATCTCACGTAGCCTGGGTGGGTAAACAAAGACTTCCTTGAAGAACTGATACCTATGGAAAATCATGAAGGACCAATAGACATCAGCCAGTCACAGAAAGATAGGAAAATTCAACTGTGCAGAGGAGATAGCATACAGAAAATATGAATAAGCAAGGGAGAATGAAGAAAACAAGATACAAAGAAAAGATTAGTCCAAAGGCCTAATGGACCGCAGCTACCAAGGCCTCCACCAGACTGAATCCAGTACAGCTAGATGGTGCCCGGCTATCACCACTAACTGCTGTAATCAGGATCACAACAGAGGGTCCTGGACAGAGCTGGAGAAGGATGTAGAACAAAATTTTAGCACACAAAAAAAGACCAGATTTACTGGCCTGACGGAGACTGGAGAAACCCCAAGAGTATGGCCTCCAGACACCCTTTTAGCTCAGTGGTGAAGTCACTCCGGAAGTTCACCGTTCAGCCAGAAATTGGACAGCCTCATAAAACAAAATGGGACTAATGAGGCACAGCAGTCCAGGGACAA